CCTGGGGGGTTGGCGTCGGGCGGATGTTCCCCGGGGCAGCCCAGTCTGGAGGGTTTTACCTGTACAGCTCTGAGTAAAACCAGTGGCGTCCCTGGGAGAGTCGAGAGAGCCCCGAGCCAGGCGGGAGCCTGCAGCCTCTGCCCCTCGCCCGCCCGGGCAGTAGTCCCCGGCCGAAGGCAGCTGCCGTGGCCCCGGCCGCGCCCGGGGCGGGCAGGAGGGCGAAGCGGGGTGCCGGGCCACGAGAGCCCCTCCTGCGGGTGCCAGCGTTTCCTCGGCTCTGCTCCCGCCAGCCTCCCGTGGCCGCCGGGCTTGCCTTGCCTCCCCTCTCCGGTGGGTGAGGCTCCCAGATGGTGGCAGCGCCCAGAGCTGTACGAGACTGCGAGGAGCCGAGGCCTAGTGGGAAACGCGGGAAGTGAGGCGTCCTCCATCTCCGGGGCTCCCCCTGCCCCGCTTCCCTATTTACCTAAGGGATATACGGTTATACTGGCCCTGAATTCCACTTTGTGGCCATGCAAAATATACCTGCTTGGCTTTAAGGTTCAGAATATTGTTCTTTGGGTGGAATGTGCTTTGTTCAGCTCTGCAGTTTGTCAGACGCATAACTACTTGCATGGTAAAGCTACTTAGGATCTTAAGCCTACTTCTGCTAAAAGGTGATGAGGCATGTGTGCATTAAATCACACAAATATTTAATTATTGACATTGAAAAAACCCTCTGTTTTTTTAAATTTCTTCACTTCTTGCTTCAACTGAATGGTGAACTTTTGTCACCTTTGAGGTGGTAGCACTGTTTTCTCAGGTTGCAGTGGCATCATCGCTTCTCAGGAAAGGTCATACATGCATAGTAATTTTGCTGAATGTTGTGGATATATTTCCTGTATAAAGTTGTATTACAAGTTTGAGATGCGGAAGTTACAGTGAATGATATGTTAATCTGTAAAGTAGACACTTCAGGTGATTAGATGTCAAGTGGATATTTGCAGCTGTGATAATTCAGGAAAAAAGTTTAAAAAAAGTTTACTTTCAATGCTATCTAGAAGAAAATTCAGTGTTCCACTGCTGTAGAAATGTCTGTATTTGAAATTTTGGACTCGAGCTGTCTTGAGAGAGATAAAATGCAGTAGAAAACCATCATTAGTTCGTGGTCTATGAAAAACTTAGGCTGAGAAAGGAAAACTGTTTTGTTGTGGAAGGGGGGAAACAAGCAGTGTCTGACAGCTTTAAAGTGAGAACTTAAAGGCCTTCAGGTTGGTGTGTGGGTTTCTGTTTTTTTCCCTTTTGATACTGAAAGAAAGAATATGTTAAGAACCCTTGTTCTTTAATTTCAAAACATGATATTACATTTATAAATATTTAATATTTGGCTATATGATCTCTCAAAGAACATTTAGAGATTTTCAGTGTAAGGGTAGAGATACTGCCTTTATCATAGATACCTTGTTTTCAACATACCAATTAGTCATTGGAGTAAAAAAATAATTTGAGTACAAATCAAGGAATCCTAGCCAGCTAAAAATATTTTTTGCTTGACTTAGCACAGTGTTTTCGAGGGTCTACAATAATTTGATAAGTGGAATCTTGTCCCCACCATAGGAATTTGTTAGATTTTTTTTTTTCTTCTTTGGAAACATTTCAGAGTTCATCTGAAGGCCTGTGACCGTATGAGAAACTCAAATGGAAAATAGGGTGCAAGTCAGTTGCTCATTTTACTGTGACCTGTGGTATCTTCTAAATTGTAAGAAGAGCCATATAACCCACTCATACCTTTCTTTTTGTGCAACAGAGTTGAGCTCAGTTGCATGAAATATAGCCAGTCCACTATCTATATTTCTCCAGAGACAATTTGGTGAGGCAGTTTGATGCATGCAACACCCCCCTCCCCCATGTTTATTAAACTGAGTACAATATCCTGCATTTACACTAGCCCTAAGTTCACTTGTATCACCGTCAATGCCTTGTTGCATTCTGAAGTTTGACATTTTTCCAAACATCTGTGCTGAATGGATGAGTTCATGTTACCTGGGAAAAGTCAAACTGCAATAACTTCTCTACCTCCAAGGGAATTTTTTTTATTATTTAGGGCTTATTCAAAAATCCTTTTCGATGCCTGAGGAGTAGTGCTTGGGAATGATGGGGAGGGGTTTGTCTTGTGGAGGTTAGTACTAAGGATAGTCATAGGAGTAACTGACTAATGTCCAGAAAATGTGTTCAGTTTAGCTACATTTCATGTGCTTTGCAACAGATGAAAATAACTAACCAAAATACCAAAGTGGTGATAAGGGCAGCCTTTAGAGTACTGATTTGCTGTATTTATTGCTATTTGACCCTCCCTGGCCACATGGGAAGGAACTCAGTCCTAGAGTGAAGTACAATATCACTACCCATTTCCTTTTTAGTAAGTACTAAGAGGATTCTTCCTGTCATGTTAGGTGAAAAAGCTGAAGAGAAGCAATGCTATTAAAATGAGTTGCTTCTCTGGTAAAACTAATCCTGTGTGTTTGTCTCTGGCATGTGAAACATAACTTCAATTCAGCTGTGATTTCTGTAGCTAGAAAATAGGCAGTATATTTAATTATTCCCTGTTGGACTAACAGAACATACGTTTAGATAAGGGAAGTTCTTACAAAATTTTAAATAAGGCATTAAAAAGAGGAATTTTTAAGAAAATACTATGAACCATCATGTTAAAACCTGACTGTAGTTAATCTTGTGATATTGGTGAGTTCTTGCTGTTCATTATAGGTGACAAAGTAAATAGACTATTTGCATCATCTGGCATTTGGGAGTTTAAATTCAAGCTTTAGTTTGCTTGGCATAATTTATAAGAAAATTATTGCTGTCTTATTTAATAGATGGATTTGTGTTGAACTAGATTAATTACTTCTCAATGTCATAAAAGTACATGTAAAGTTTGTAGGTCAGATCATTGCTGAAATGAGTTAGGTGCTGCCAAGTGTTGATGAACCAGTCTTTTTAATCTTCTGTTGTCAGTGTATAAACTTTACAAAATTACCAATTCCTTGAAAGCTGTAAGGCAAAAATATCACAGGTGAACTTTAAGTTAATCTAAAATAAGTACAAACTTGTGGTGGGGAAATGCATAGCATTCTTTCCTGTAGAGGCCCTTCTTCTGTACTCTTTTCGTCCTCATCTGAGAGCAGATCCAAAAAAGGAGTTGTCTTTGCAGCAGTGAACTTCCAGTACTTGCCCTGACAGATTCAGAGCTGTGTGTTAGGTACGTGGGCTGCTTGTGAAGTTTATGGGGATAAGTAGGACTTCCGAAGAGGAGCAGCAAGCAGCCTGCAAACAGAGCACTTAATGTACAGCTAGTCATTGAGGATACTCCAAAACCAGGAATGGATCACGCGTGTTTTAGCCGGCAGTGTTTTAATGTAAAACATAGGAACAGCTGGGAACTTGAGTGTTGGCCTGCTTCTGAAGTGAGTGTGCTGGTTGCTAGCTGCTTTGCTTCTGGACACAGGGATCCTGGATTACTCGCTACTGTCACGCATCATTTCAGGATTCAAAGGTAATGCTAGTCAGAGGATCATGGAAAGCCTGTTAAATATGGCTGGTGTCTCTTTTCTGAGTCTGTGTAGTGCTTCATTCATTTCATCATCTTTAGGATAGCACAGATTTTAAACTATATACTACAGATATGGGTTTTTTCAGTTTGTAAATGTGCATTTGTAAATGTGCATACCTGCAGTATGATACAAGCTGTTGTCTTGCATTGGTTTCTAAGATATTTAGACATTTCTTTAAGGGTTGTGTGGAATTTATTGTTAAATGTGTTCTACTGCACCTGTAGCAATGTAGACATTGTCAGCCATGGTTGTGGCACAGTTGTATGCAGACAGCCTTCCAAACCGGGTGTTTTTCCCCTCAGTGTTTAGCAATGATGGGTTTATCTGACAGTGCTTCCAGTCTTTTAATTTGTCCTGCATCTCTCAACTTCTGTGTGAAGCTCAGCTGTTAACACTTTTAGTTAATCTTTTCAGCATCTCTTTATGAATAGTTTATTTTTACAGATGCATTTTAAAACCATCCCTTCATTAGGGAAAGTCTCTTCCCTCTCTGTATACTGGAGTTGGAAGGTTTTGGGGTTGTAAGGGTTTCCCAATCATGTCTTAGCTTCCTCCATCTGAAAATATTTGTTTAGTTTTTTTTTCTAATTTGACTTGTTACCCTGGTTTATTCTCCTTCCATTTATTTTATTTCCTATTTCTACTTTCCCATATAGTATTTTGTCGACAAAACTCTTCGCTTGGTGTTGAATAAATTGCCTTCTCCCTGTGCTGCCTCTTGCTTCCCTGTCATACCTATTTTGAGTTTAAGTACTTGTTAGCATCCCTACCTAAGGATGAAGTAAAATGAAATGTGATGAGCTAATGTACTAGCATGCTGTTGCCAGAAGGGAGATGTTCTGTTTTTCCACAGTCCTCTTCCTAGTCTCTCATCTCTGAACTTCCCCTGCTTGCTTTTTCTCTGGCACTCAATGGACTCTCATATGAATTGATCCTGCTCACTGCTTGTAGGACATAAACCCAGCTGCATTAGGGAATTAAATCAGCTCAGCAAAAGGTCCAGAGAGTTCAATATGGCTACACAGGATGATGTGGCAGAGAAAGGGAGAGAAAGCAAGACATTTGGTGTCATTGAACTATTAGATTGGCTTGTATAATTTCATGTTAGATAAGTAATTGGACAATAGATTTAACTGATCTAAGTTAGGGCTGCTCTGCCCCAGCTATGTCTTCCTCTTTGTCTTTTGTCATCACAATTCTGTCCTTGTCTCTGCAGTAAAATGGTTCAGGGAAGTGAATGTGGAGAAAAGTGACTTTTTGTCAAGGTTAGTTTTCAACTAGTTTCATTTACCTTACCAGGAGTCTGGGTGATAGCCACAGGAAGCCCACTGGAAGAAAGAGGGTGTGGAAGGCATGCCTGAAGGCAGAGGAAGCAGCATCATCACATCATCAGTTCAAGCTGTCTCAGAACCGCATCCTTACAGAGGCAGTAGCATAATGGAGTGTGATGTGGGCTGGGGAGTTGTTTTCCTGATAGCATTGTGGTTAGATACTTCACTCCCTGCAAAACTTTGCGCTGTAACATGATCATGATCCACCTATGCCTTTTATAACTGGCTATTCAGTATGAAGAAATGGATTATCAAATTTCTTTCCAGGTGAATAGCAGTTAAATGAAAGTGTAGAAGCTGGCTGCCCCAGCAGTTTCAGTTCCTGTTTCTTCTTCAGTTCATACGAAATAACAACCAACTAGTTCAAAAAAGGGCAAGTCAGTGCATGTACAACCCTTTGGGAGCACCTTGCAAGAAAAGCAATCTACTTGAGTGACATAATTGAAATGGAGAGGGAGAAGTAAACAAAATCTAACTTCTTAAGTTGTGCAAATGAATGAAGAGGAAGGGGAACAGACTTGTGAAGCAGGAGAGCTTGGACTTTCATCTTCTAGGCAGACAGCACTGACTGAACTCTTAGTAGTTGGGGAACGACAGTGACTGGCGTATGTGTTCTCGGGGTTGGAATGAAAAGATACCTGATAAATTGGGACAAATGGATGAGAAAATTGCATGTGAACTTTTAGTGTAGTCCCTTTTTTTAAGTAGATTTGTATATGGTTACTTCTGCTCTTCCTAAAATCAGCTATTAACCCATCTTAACTATCTATGTGCTTTTTGACTGTACTGCCCATGAGTGGGAAATTTGAATATAAGTTTGCTGAAAAATTCAGTATTAGTTGTTTCCATATAGTTAGATGATAGCTACTTTTAGATTAACAGGTACTGAGAATTTCTGTTGTCCGCATTCAGGGCTGTTCCTGCAGAGGGGAGGGGTGTCTTGCCATTCCCCAGGGAATATGGATTAAAAAGTTAAGGGCTTTTAGAAGCTGTTTTCTAAAATTAAGGCTAATCCTACTTCTGTATATGTATCTCTATTAAATCACTTTCAGTGCTTTAGCAGTTGCAAATACAACTTTTCTCTGATATGGATGCTTCTGCAGAGAATTTTATGAATGAGTATGTCAAAGTCTTCTAAAATGTGAAAAATACAATATGGAGCAAATATTTCTTTTTTACTACTGACAGCTAATAGTAAATATTCTGTGTCTACACACACGTAAGTATACATGCATAATCTATTAATATACATGCATATATGTGTGTGTATATTTATAGATTATTATGCATATATATACTGTGTGAATATGTATACTAATTGGAATAAATTACATATTTTACTGGGCTAATGATTAACTTGGTCATATAGTCTTGAGTTTACCCCTTGCCAGTAAGGTCTTGATTGTCTTGGCAGAGCTCAAGTGAGTGTCATCTTAAATGCATTTTGCTTTATTAATGCATACATGTAATTTAGCTATTCAAGGAGCAAGAAAAATAAACTAGTGTAATTATTTTGCATACATTAAATACTTGTTCATTGAATGAGTAGTTTAAATGGTCAGCAACATTGTAGTACACTATAAATAAATCACTGTAATATTTTATTGACAGCATTACATTGTGGGTTGTATGTTTCTTGTCATTTGCAATTAAGAGCAGGCTGATAAAGTTTAGTATTTCTGAAGAATAGACAGTGTGGCCTGGGCAGGAGCATGACTAGTCACAGATCATGATGGTTAATGGCAGTCATTGGTTGGCTATTATTTTTAAATATTTAAAATGTTTCAGCATTGTTTCATCATTTCTAATGCTGTCTTTAAGCTGAGCATGTAATGTTATGAATGGACGGCATAGTAATGTAGGTGTATTTAACCGGATTTCATTTTAATGGTCTGTTAGGAATAATTTACTCAAAGGACACTATGAATGTCCTGTGTTGTTATTCCTGTTATTTGGAAATCTGTTTTTTCTAGTTGGAATCTCTTGCCACTCGTGTTTAAATATACCCATATTATTAAATACTGAGTTTGGAATGAAGGTGTTACAAAGGTGGATGAATAACTTCTTGAAATGTATTTTAGCACTTGAAACTCAACTGAGTTGTAGTTTATCTTTCCAGTTTCATTCTGATGTGGGGGAGAAACCTCAACAAAACCATTTTGAAGTGAGTTTTAAGTTAACTGCTGGGGGTGTTGATTTTCTTGTGCTTTTTTGAGATATTCAGATACAAGAAGCGTATAAAGTCTTTGGACATGTGAGTGTTCTGGGAGCTGCTTTTGGGGTGCTGTATGTGGGCTGTTGTTTTCAAAGTATCTCCTGTCTTTAGGAATGCATTAAAAATACTATCTGTGAAACTGAAGTGACTTTCACTTTACAAGTAAAATGTTTCTGTTACAACATCAAAACATATGTGTTTTTCCTGTTCAATGATTTATACAGAGTACCCAGAAAAAAAAAAACAAACAACAACATTTAGATTCCAAATTGAGCTGCTTTATTGGACGTGACTTCTGACTTTCCATTTCTTTGGAAAACTCATAGCTGTGCTGTCATTTAATGTAACGTGAATGATAAAGTTGAGATGCTTGATTTACAGCTGCTGACATTTTCTTGCTCTGTTCAGGATCTTCCCCATGTGTGTCCTGAGCCTGCTCTTTTAAAATCACTTTGAAAACTTGTCGACTGCAACGTTCACCCTGGATGCTAGCACTGAGAGGGTGCTGAAGATGGTTGATCAGTGTTGATGACCTGACAAAGTGTGGGCCAGGCTTGACCAGCAAGCCATTTTTCTTCAAGCAGCCCACCTTTTGCCTTAAAGAGGTAAAGAATGACTGTTAAGGCAGGATGTTTTATAAACCAATAGGATGGCTGTTTCTTAACCTGCTGGCATCACGCTTAAGGGCCAAGCACTTGTTGCTGAGTCTTAAGTTTGTCTCCTCACAGGAGGTATGTGGCTTTGATCTAGGAGCTGAGAGTTGCAGTTACATTAGCGAGACTCTCCAGGTGACGGAGAGCTGAGCTGGAATTGGACCAGCACACTTGGGCTCCCTGGCATAAACTGGTGGGTTAAACACCCCTCTGGTGAATTGGGGAACTGGGTAGTTCTTTCTGGAGAGCCTCAGCTCTAAACTAATTAAAATAATGGTTATAGTAAAAACTAAAAGTACCTGTCTTAATTGACTGTGTAATCCAGAAGTAAACATAGTACCTTCTGTCCTTTGTGAACAGCAACTAAAGTGACCATGTGCCTGATCAACAGGTTGTGAAGGGTGTAATTCATGTTTCTCTGTGTTAGCAATTATGTGGAGTAGAAAAAAGACTTGAGATTTTCAGATTCTCAGCAGAACTATAACACTCTGAATATTCTTCTAACTACAAACTTTTTTTATTATTTGGAAGTATAGCTGTTTCTTTTATTATTGAATGTCCCCACTTAAGATCCAAAATTAATAAACAAGTACATATAGCATGTAGCTAAAGGAAACCATGTATCATCGAAACTATTAAGGATGTTTTCTACAGGAAAGCCTTGTATTTTTCAGTTGTTGTAGAACTACCATCTGTTACTAACATTACTGCCTGAATACTGTGAAATGTATTTCAATGTGAATGTGACTTTGAGTTATGAAACTGGTGTTTAAAAAGCATGTTTCATGTGATCAGGCAGTGCCTTTAAGCTTTTTCTCCTCAAATAATTTGATCATGTTTGTAAAGATTTAGTTGCAAGACTTAAAAATCACAAGGATTTAAAGTTTTGTGCAGGTATCTCTTTTCCTTTTAAAAATGTTTATAGTCCAGTGAAATGTTGGTGATGAGCTCTGGTTCCTGTTCACAAGTAGGTCCTCTGCTCTGATTTCACTAACAGTTGTGGGTAGTCCCACCACTCCTCTAGCAGGCTGGTGGAAACCACCTGAAAGCTGAGTGCTGACTGGGATATGAGCTTCTGCTGGAGTGTAGGAACCTGCCCTTGCATTTTGGGCTACTTTGGATCTTTGCCTGGGCAGGAATCCGAAAGCTTTGACAGGTGACCACTAAGGAAGTGATTAAGGACAGTGAGGCCTGTGAACAAAAAAGAAGGCTTTATTTCCCATTCAGGTAGTTGCAGTTTGATAGCCTGACTTATTGGTTAAGGACTTGGCTTCCTTTTGCTGTCTTGTGGACTTGGTGTGTGGAATAAATACTGTCAATTAGAGTTGCTATGCAATTGTGATTTCAAAGGTAAAATTGGTTTGTTATTTATATCCCCATGTAGTTCATCCTGCATTCTTTAGGTGTAGGTGCCACCTACAGTTCCAATCAACTGAAGAAAGACAAAGATTTAGTATAGTAGTAGTTAACCAAAAGACTTCTCATACCTGCAAAGTGTTAGCAACTGTAATTGGAGTATAAGATTTAGTGTATATGCTTGTGTTCTTGTGATCACTAGTGTGTACATGTTGGTCTGAATCCAAATGATTTTCATTATTTTGAAGATGGACTCTCAGGATCATTAGTTGTTCCTATCTTTGCAAGCGGTATGTTGAAGGCAAGGAGTCCTTTCCTCCAAAATGATCAGTGTGAGAGCATTTAAAAACATGAGTTATGTTTGGCACTTTGGGGAGTTTTGCATGGTGGTGGAATAGTTGGCTCACCTCTCACTTAATTTGTTGTCTGTCTTCCATGAACCAGTGTATAACATGGTGAAGTATTTGCGGAAGAAGGTCATTATATTACTTGTTTAAAGAGGTGATAGACATGTCACACTTCAATGTATTTTGTATTCACTTTTCAGTTTTAAATAAGCAATGACACTTTAGCAGTATTTTTAGTTTCTTTTCACCATAAATTAGAACTTGAAAAATTATCTTTGGAAGAGTAATAATTATTGCTTCAATTTAAATTTAAAGTTAAGTATTACACCACTGTATTTTGACCTCTGGAGTCTATTATCAAGGTGAAAGGCATGCCTCACTGTGAAAGCAGTCTTCAAGCAGCAAAATCTAATTCTTGTTTCTGTTGACAAATAGTACAAAAGATTCATTTTGCATCCTTGGCATTTTTTTGCATCCTTGGCATTTTGTATGATCAAAATGGCAAATTACTCTAAAATGTGAATTTATCATGCAATCCTCAAAGACAAAAACAAGTTTTAAAAAAGAAAAAACTTCAAAATTTGGACAGAAAATACCAATCTTTGCCTTTCCTCTGCAAAAGCAATAACAAATCCATGAGTTAATAAATCTTCCATGCTTCTTATGGTAGAACATTTGCTACCTCTTTAGTTTGCTCGCTTTTATTATAAAAACAAGCCACAGAGGGTAGAGGCACTGGCAGTGGTAACGATATGATTTCTCTCTTTTCTATTCTTTCCACAAATTAAAAAAACCCAACAACCACCCCACACAAATTTTCAAACACTTCTGGTGAGTGGCTTATGATCATTCAGATAAGATAAATGTTCTGTAGAGTTCCTGAATCAACATACGTAATCTAAACATTTGGCTTAATTTCATTAATTTTGGATAAATGTCTGTGAGAGGATAAAGGGTTTTGTATTTACTTCTTTTCTCTGGGGAATTTGAAATGAGTGTTTGTGTCTCGTAGGAATTAACTATTGGTGCATTACATGGTCAACAGTCTTCAATATGTAAGCATACTAGTAAAACATACTGCAAAACTTTCAGTAGAAATATCAATGCTATTGAAAATATAAAAATTCTTATAGAAGACCTTATAATGGGTCTTCAAAATAGCACTTAAGAAAACAATTCTTGGCTTCTTGGCAGTGGTAGAAAGATCTCTACAGCAAGAAATTAACAGAAGATTCCTTAAGATTGCCATGCATTCTTCCTCCACAACTTCTTGCAACTGCGTAAACCCCTGTGAATGTAACTGGAGAATTTGTGACAACAGTTTAATTTTCAGTGCTGTTTGTTAGTTTGTGTTAGTTTTCTTGCATGGGTGGGGAGGTTGTATGGGAGATGTTACAGAACTTGAAAGAAGTGTCAGTATTGGTGTCCCAGGGCTGGCTAAAAGACTGCCTGGCCAGTGGTGTGCAGTATGTATCTGCCAGCTGTTTCTTCCTTTCTCACCATGCTCATTCAGGCAGTCTTAGAAATCTTTGAAATTCCTACCTCCTCTTCTCTGCCTCTCACCTCACTTTGATAATTGATTTTTTTTTTCTCCTTCCTAATGACCTGCCTGAAATTGCTTTTTGTATCTTTTATTTTTTGATTAGTTAAGCTAATACTTGAACAAAACAACAGAAGTTCCCAAACTATGCTTTATATATGAATACTAAGGAAGCCAAAGCTTTGGGGACCCTTAGTTGCTCTGGAGCATGGCTGTCATTTGGTGTTACCAGTAGCTAATGGTACTGGAATGCTTTAACTGGGGGAGTGAAAGCAGATTGCTAATTATTTGTTTAATGTGTCCAATCCACAGTTTAGTACGCTAGGGCAGCATTTTGAGAAACTTTGCAAAGCTGCTTTGTGATTATCTTATCTATTAGTAATGTTATCACAATGATGCTGTAAGAATGACAACAGTACTGTGAACACAAGATCTTTGTTAGTTTCTTAAATATTTTGCAGTGGGCTTTGAAAAACATTTCTAAGTTTTGCTGCTTTCTGTTGAGAGTTATTTCTAACCTTTTCAATACTCCAAAGAAATTACTGGGAAGACTTACTTTGTGTTTTAACAGAGATGATAGATTATATGCTTTCATGCTGAACTTAAATGCTACTTGAGAAATCTTTACATACTCTAAAGAAAGGTTTGTGAGACATAAGTAGCTCTGTGTGCAGGACATGTTTGCAGTATTTGAAGTATATAGATCTATCAGAACAAACTTATGACAGGAAATTTCCAAATGTTAAAGATTAAGAGGTATCAGAAAAGTGTTTTACGTCAAACCATCTCTAGAACTTTCCAGGAATTGGAAAAGGAAATCTCCAGGATTTGGAGCAGGAAATAAGAAAATAAATAAATAAATATTTGGAAAGAAATAATAGTTTTCCAGTCAGGCACATGACTCTTGTTCCTGTGAAGCCCTTAGCAAGCTTGACCAGGTAATCACTTTGTGTGATGAAAAAGCTGTTTAGGGCTTGCCTCTTATTTGTATAAAAGTTTATTTCATTTTTAGCATTCAAAGCTGCCAGTGAACTTTGTCTTCATCTGAACAGAGATGGCCCTCATAAGCACCAGTAAAGCTGGGTGCTGCACTTGCTCCCCCTCAACAAAATGTTGTGTAGCCTAAGAAAGGGTTTGCTTAGCTGAGAGAAAAGCCTTGTGACATTTGCATTTTTGTCTCCTTCCTAATAATGATTGGGCACATTTTGCAACCCTTATTATTGGTCAAAGCCATGTGTCTCTGTCTTGGGAACTTGTCAGGCATCTTTCCTCCCCCTCTTATTGATGGGGTATGAGAGGTTCATATCTGAGAATAGAGGCTGTGGTCCTAATATGGTATATCTCAAAGCCATCTCAGCTAGCTCATCAGAATGTAATGAGTATAAGTCTTTCATTTTTTTTTCTGTTTAGATGAAACTACTCTTGCATACTCTCTAAAATGTACATGTAAACTAATGCAACATAAACAGTATGGGTGCAGTAGTTACAACTCTTCTGCTGATCTGCTGTTTTCCATGCTGCTCATAGGTCTAAGGTACTGGCCAGCAGACATCTATGTAGTTAAACAAGTGATTGGTGCCTCTGAAGAGTAATGGGGTGATGCAGATTTTATCAGAGCCATTTGTCTGCCTCAGGTAGTTTAATGTACATCTTTTAATAATAAGTTCAGATGTGTATAGTGATTTATTTCATTTTATAGAACAGCTAAACGTAAGAAAACTTCCCAAAACAGTGCAGGGCTGGAATAATTAAATGTTTGTAAACTGAAGCATGTGAATGATAAAATTAATTATTCAGTTCTTCTGCTAATGTTAATTTATCATAACTCCATATTGAATTACAATGTAATGACTGTATTTCTGTTTTTCAGGACATAAGGGACGCTTTTACGTGATAGAATGGATGAACAGTCACAAGGCATTCAGGGGCCTACTGCTCCGCCATTTCAGCCACAGGTACTCTTTTTTTTTTTTTAAACAGTTACTCAAGAGTGGATGCTATCATTTCTTAAACAGAAGAGAGAAATTAGCAAACATTATTTCTTGTGGGGACAAAGAAGCTCTGAGCAGATAGTGTATTCTGGTTATCTTGAAATTAATTGAATATCAATCCTATATTTCATAGGAAATAATTACTTTTCATTTTTTCCTCCTACTGCTTCACTAATGTTGAGGGTTTGGAATTGGAGTGGGAGTAGGCAGCAAAGATTAAAGCAGTTGTTTTCCTGAGAAATGATAAGCTGTTACATTGTTTCAAAATTGTATCAGAAATTACATTTTTATTTTGGACTGTTATCTTTACCTCTCTCTTATACATCCTGATACCTTGTTTTCTTACACCTGCTGATACTATATGAATTAGTGCCATTACTCGATGAAATCATGCAAGAGGAATTGCCAGTAGCTGTAGTTCTGTTAGAAGATGTACAAGAAACTTAGTCTTTTTATATGTGTTGATGGCGTGAAACAAAGGATAGAGATTATCTGATAAGAGATAATATTGGGATATTGCTTTATGACATTTTTTTAGGAGGTAATTCTTTGAAGGGAGTGCAAGAGCCTGTAGAGGAATACCCTAAAAATATTTACTGTGGTGACCATTCCAAAGTAAAAACTGTGAAATTCTTTCCAAAGCTGGAACCTAAATTTTATAATTTTCTTGTTAATAGTATGGGTGATAAAGCAATTCGTACCTTTTTTGTTTTTTTACAAAAACCGAGGTGAATTCTAGCTTGTAAATTTACAATAACCAGCTTTCTTTAGCTCCAGTGTTTTTATTATAGCATTGTGATAACAAAAAATCTGAATTTAATAGAATTTATACCAATGCAAACCAATTAGAAATTTAAGGCAAATGTATAGCTATGCATACAGATATTTTGAGAAAATACATTTTTAATTTTAAAACAAAAATAAGACAATACATAAAATCTCTATTATGAATATTACAAAAGGTCCCCATTATTATTTCAGTTCTTTCCTGACTAAAGAGAAAATAGAACACAGCTGCTTAAGGTTTCTGTATTTCTGGGAAATCTTCCTATGTTTTCTGTTTTCTGACTACAAACAGGTTTCATATTTCCTCATCTATCTTCTGAGTATTTGAATACCTGTTTCTGATTCAGAGAATCAACTCTTTGAGGACAGGTTCAGTTTTAAGAATATTACTCTAATCTACAAATTCAGTTTATGAATTCATATTAGTAAAATATGTTTCTAGTTTTACTGTTTCAAGTAATATAGCTCATCTACAGGTATCCAGTTTCCTCTGTGGTAAACTAAGGACAGCCCTAAAAGCAGTACTGCTGTAGTCAACTAGACGCTTTCTACAAAAGAAGAAATTAATGTTTATTCACACCTTTGTTAACTGTCAATCATTTTCATAATCTGTGTCTCATTATTATTTTTTAAAATCAATTACTGTGTAAACTGCAGTAAGCATGATTTTTGTGATTTTTATCTTTCTTTCTTGAGATGAAAGGTTTTGGGTTTGTGGATCTGAGCTGGACCTGCATCAGAATATTGACTGTTTTGCATTTCAAGGGAAGCAAGCATGCTCTGATAGTCAAATTGCCAGAGTAATACTAAAATGGTCACTTAGTGACATTAGCTCTTGTTAATCCAAATTGTTTTTCCTTGAGCCAGATACACACTTTAATTCTTACGGATTTCTCTGCTAATGGAGCATGCTTATGTTGAAAACTAGTAACGAAAAGAAGTTACTGTACTAATTACTGATACATTTAGGAGAAGCAAGAACTAGAATTGAAAATACAGCAAGTTTTGCGCAAGAGGTTAGGTAATGATTTATGAGGAATTGTTTGTCAACTTTTGATAAAGCTGTGAATCTCCTAATTCTCTTGGTCATTATATTGTATAAATATATACTCATATTCATGGAAAATTACCCTAATCATTGAAAATTATTGATGAAGAGCATGAGAATATTTAGCTAAACATTATGATGGCTTAGTTCCAATTAGTTTGAAAACACCATTTCACAAAATCATGCAATGATTGGGGTTGTAAAGAAACTGGAGGTCATTAGCCCTCCTGCTTGAGCCAGTTTCCCAGGACCATGTCCAGACTGCTTTTGAATATCTCCAAGGAGGGAGATTCTGCAACCTCCCTGGACAACCTGTGCCCTCACAGTGAAAAGGTGTTTCTTGATGTTCAGACAAAATCTACTTGTATTTCACTCTGTGCCCATTGCATCTTGTCCGGTCACTGGGCACCACTAAAGGAAGCCTGGCTCTGTCTTCTAACACCCTCCTTTCAAGTATTTGTACGTGTTGATGAAATCCCCCCTGAACCTTCTCTTTTCTAGGCTGAATGTTCCCAGTGATCTCAGCCTTTCCTCATATGAGAGATGCTCCAGTGGTCTGATCATTAGTGAGCTTCTTCTGGATTCTCTCCAGTATGTCTATGTGTGGGTGGCCCAGAACTGGACACAGCACTCCATGTGCGGTCGCACCAGTGCTGAGTAGCGGGAAAAGATCATCTCCTTCCTCCTGCTGGCAGCTCTCCTCCTAATGCGGTCCTGGACACCATTTGTCGCCTTTGCCACAAGGGCACGTTGCTGGCCCATTGTTCAACTTTGGTATCCACCAGGACCCCCAGGGTCTGGCCTGTAAAGCTGTTTTCTAGTAGGTCAGTGCCCAGCATGTACAGGAGGTGTATGGGGTTATTGCTGCCCCGGTGCAGGGCTTTGCACTTCCCTGTGTTGAACTGCTTGTTTCCTGTTAGTGTTTCTCCAGCCTGTTGAGGTCCCTCTGGATGGCAGCACAACCCTCTGGCGTATCAACCATTCATCCCAGGTTTTTGTCATCAGAAAACTTGCTGACGGTGCGCTTTGCCCTGTCATCCAGATCATTAATGAAGATGTTAAGTAGGATTGGACCCAGTATTGATACCTGAGCTATACTGCTAGTTACTGGCCTCCTACTAGACTTTGTGCTGTTAGAAGCTCATTTTCTGTTTGGAATTGAGTGCCTAACAGCTCTTTTGTAGCTTGTTATCTACAAACTTAAAATACTGTACTTCATTACATCACAGGGACATTTTGAAAAATGCAAATACCGAAGTACTCCCAAATCTCTTGCATATTGTAAAAAGGATTATGGAAGAAGGTCAGAAAATATGGATTAGTAGTCTGATGGTAGACTTTAAATTCTAGAACTTCCTCAAGAGGAGAATGGGAACTTCTTAGCATCTGAAGAAAGGAAGAACATGACTCTTAGTAGACCTGATAAGCCATAAACCAAAGGTAGCATATATACCTTACTGTTTTGTTTTGTGGTTTTTCTAATAAGCTGAAGAACAATAATTTAACAGGTCTCTTACACAGAAGACATTGCATATCTCTGCTCAGCATTGGTATTCTGCTCTTTGTTTTCGAGTTCCCCTGTATTCTCCTCAAAATGAGGAGTCTGAACAATGCACAGTATTCAGTGTGCACACAATACACTTTAGTGGAAAATCTTGGTTTCTGTTTCATTCATATGCTTTCCTTAAAAATACCTAGCTTTCTTTTTGATGGTGACTGACCAATCAGTTTAACTTTTCAAGGAAGTTTTTCCATGGTATTTTGTAGATTTTTTTTTTTTCCCTGTGTGGTAATAGCTAATCTAAAAATCATGATTCTCTGCCTTGAGGGTTTTATTTCCCATTAAGTTTCTGACTGCTAGCCTTGGGATGATAGTACTGAGTGCCACGGTGGAAAACTAAAAGAATCATCTGCAAGGCTTTGCAGTCATATTTTAAGCTGGTTGTCTGGATAAGTTTGGATTATAAAGAAACTTTATTACTGCATTATATGTATTGAATAGTGCAGTTTCCTTTGGGATTTCACTGGTAACTTCTCTGAGAAAATAATTTTTCTGCTGCTGTTTCTCATAGCTGGCTATTAATCTGCTCAATGTTCTCTCTCAACATTGCAGAGCTTAGTTTTATAGGTTAAGAATCCTCACAGAAGGAACATGGTTAAACATTTTTTAAAATATGTGGTGTAATTTCTAAGGCA